ACTTGTTTTTGTATTTTTGAAACGACGTAAAGTAAATACCTTAGAAATGTATTGTTCCCATCCAACTAATTTTTTTAAGGGAAAATTTCATAACTAAGAGGTTAAGTTTCATTCATTTCAAATTTAAGAGATAATATTTAAAATTTCAAATTTCGGATTTTTTAAAATTTTATTTATAAATAAATAAATTAAACATATATTTTATTAATTAAATATATTAAGGTCACAATTCCATATAATTTGGTCACAAATCACTAATTTTACACGTCACATTATTTTACGGTCACAATTCAAAAATTTTATAGGTCACAATGCGTTCATCGGTCATAAATCAGAAATTTTATAAGTCACAAATTATTTTACGATCACAAATCAGAAATTTTATAGGTCACAATTCAGAAATTTTACAAGTCACAATTTGTTCATCGATTACAAATAAAAAAAATTACGTCACAATTTTATACAATTTGGTTACAAATTTATTTTTCGGTCACAAATCAAAAATTTTATAAATCACAATTCATTTATTGGTCACAAATCACAAATTTTATAAGTCACAATTCAAATTTTTAGATCATATATTATTTATTGGTCACAATTTATCGGTCACGCGTTATTTTTTAGTCACAAAATACCCAAATTAATGGTCACAATCTCTTTTAATTCCACTCCCTACCCCAATCCACCAGGCATCACCACTTCCAACAACTCCATTTTCCACTTCAAAATCACCACCACCACCTCACCACCACAACTACCACCTCACTACCGCCAATAACAATATTCAACAAAATCGTTGCCACCGTCGCTCAAAAACACCAACAAATCAAATCTGCAAAAACAGTTGCATCGCCACTGACACTGCGATTACCACCCCATAAACACAACCAGCAACCACCACTGATATCGACACCACCGATAGCAAAACCATTATCTCAACACTGCAACCAACAACACCACCAGCCTACCACTCCAAACCCACAACCCTAACCAAAAAAATTCCCAAATCTGCCGCCAGGAACTAACGTCGTCGTCACCATCACCGATAAATCAACCACAGACAACCCACCATAGCAACCACATCACCTCCCAAACACAAACACCACCAATGACAACGTCGTTGTTGCAGTGATGATGTGTGCAGAAGACGCTATCGTCACTTCGTAACAGTGTCAAGCTATGCCGCTTTGAGAGGCGATGAGATGCTGCTGTGGCTGCTAGCCTACTACTAGCTTTCAAAGGGACGCTGATGTGGCAGCGACGTCGTGAGCGGCGCATCGACGGTGTCTTCACGGTGTGTTGTATGGTAGAGAGAGATAGAAAGCATGCAGGGAAGAGAGAGAGAAAGGAGATGAAAAAGATAAAATTAAGGTTAGGTTTGAGTAATTATGATTTAGAGAGAGAAGGTAGATGACATAGATGAATTAATATCTGATTTTTGTATAAATAAAATTTATATCTGAAATTTGAAATTGTAACTTTAAAATTCTGATTTTGTGTAATTTCCTCTTTTTTAAAGTCCAATTAACGTTGTTAATTGCATCCAACTTCTTTTCCTCACTTCCTCTTTCTGAATAAGCTCTTGCAATTCTCTCATCCCTTCGATCTCTCTCTCACTGATGCAAGATGGTTTGACTAACAATTCATTTATCTATAATATATTAAACATCACATCAAATGAGAATAATTTTTAAATGATTCTAATCGATTGTTGACATTGTCTGTGTTGGTAAGTGTTGATTGGATAAAAAATTGTGTAAACTTTAAACTGTCCAATGATGTGTTGCCACATGACAAAGTGTAAAAAAAATGTAAAAATGATGTACATGTAGCATGATTGATGTATAAATTCTTTATTATTAATTCTCAATTAATTAACATTCATATTTCTTTAATTAACGTTCATCTTCATTTATGCATTTTAGTGTTATTAAT